AGCCACACATCTAAGCTTCTTGTTCTTTCAATGCTTTCTCCACATAGATGTCCCAGTCAATTCCAATGACCAACTCCCTAATCCAATATCTAGAATACTCATATGAATAGTCTGGGCTAGTTACACAGACTTCACTGATATTTTGTAGCAAATACTACCTTACCCCTATCCCACTATCTCTTCACTTCTTTGGATTTCTTTCTTTTCTTTTTTCTTCTCTTTTTTCTTACAGCAAAAAGTTGGTTTTCTTCCACCCCCCTTTTCTTGACCCATCACGACCAGGCCACACTTTGAGTCTCAAGTGCCAACAGCTTCCCGCTCTAAGGTAATCGTGTTCCTTCTTTATAGGGACTGACCCTTCCCTTTACGTAGATATACAACAACAAGGTAACAGCTTACATGCAGTATCTTGACAGGACAGTATCTTTTACCATGCTGGAGGTTATCAGCATAGCTTAGGGCAAGTGGTCCCCAGCTTTTACGGCTTGGCGGCCCACAGGAGGGAGAAGGGAACCTGTCTGCTTGAGTAGCATCTCAGCCCGCCGCTCTGGCAGCCCAGGTTTGAACAGGACATGGGCTGGCAGTGGGTTGCGGCCTAGGGGTTGGGAACCCCTTTCTTAGGGGATATAAAGTTGGCAGCAAAATACATGCAGTGCTGTTCTTCCACAACACACTACTTGTTACGTTATATTAACTCACATACCTCAAGTAAATGACATAGCTGGCCGTGAGAGTTGTAAAGGGGTTCAAATACTATATTTTAAGTTATATGTAAAGAAGTACTGAGTTTGGTGTAGCAATTAAGCCATCAGGCTAGAAATTGGGAGACTGAGTTCTTGTCCCACCTTAGACACAAAGACAACCAGGTGACCTTGAGCTAGTCACTTAACTTATTTTAATCCCTTTAAAATACCTGTGCTTTTAATTTATTTTTATTCTAGGGGTAAACTTTTTGAAAAAAAGAAAAAATAACTTTTTGTAGAAAGACATGTCAAGATTCACCAAAATACAATTTTTTTAAAAAATGCATTACCTGAGTTATCGCATACAATATGACTAGCCAAGCAGCTGAAACTACAGATACATGAGCCCTATTTCTGTCAAGTTCACTATGAAATTTAGGCAGTGGTGAAACGTAAAATTTGTTACTACTGGTTCTGTGGCTTGGTTGGGGGGATAATGTGACTGGGTGGGCGTGGCCAACTTTTTTTTTTTTTTACTTTTAAAAGCATTTTTTCTACAACCTTAAGATGTTGCAGAAAAAAATGCTTTTAGAAGCCTCTGACGATCAGGCAACTCAGCTGGGATCGCCAGAGGATTTTAAAAGCATTTTTTTCTGCAACCTCTTCAGCCGAAGAGGTTGTAGAAAAAAAATGCCTTTAAAAGCCTCTGATGATCCCAGCTGAGCTGTGGGATCATCAGAGCCTTTTTTTTTTTTAAAGCATTTTTAAAAGCATTTTTTAAAAGCATTTTTTCGGCCAAAGAGGTTGCAGGAAAAAATGCTTTTAAAAGTAAAAAAACCAGCCTCTGATGATCGTGCGGCTCAGCTGGGCATGGGGGGGGGGTAGGGCAGGGATTTTTGCTACCGGTTCTCAGAACCACCCGCCACCATCGCTACCGGATCGGGTGATCTGGTCCGAACCGGGAGCATTTCACCCCTGAATTTAGGTCAATATATCACTTCATAATCTCTTTTTCTTATTTTGTCAAGATAATATCAACACCATGAAGTATTTTCCAAATGAAAAGAGCTTGTATACAAAGTTCTATGCAGAGGATTCAAAACTTGTAATCAATTACAATTACTTGTAATTCAATCAAATCTTCCTGGAAGCACAAGCTACGTTGTTCTTATCTGACAGATTTTGTCATACACACCCACACCCACACACCAATAAAAGATTAATAGTTAAAAATGAATATTTTCCAAAGGTTCACAAATAAAAAAATGTTAAGTGTTACATAGTCTTTGTTACAGAATGGAGCTCCCTACAATGAAGGATCTCTGATACAAAATTAGGAAAACACCATATATCTATTTTAACAAAATTATAAACGCCATCACAATACAAAGGTCTATTTTATCTCTATTTATGTAAAGAATAATTGCAAATTCATCTATTAGCATATGAAACTTTTCTGAAACTATTAAAAAATACTGTGGGCTAACCAAGGAATTTACTAACTTAAAAATAGTTCACTGTATTAATTAATGTGAGAAATTTAAATTACTGATGGAATTTGACATGAAAGCACAATTAGTTCCTATCATACAGATAATTCATTGCAACCTGATCATTCTTTTTTCTTTTTTTCTCAGAAAAAGAAGGTAGAGGTTGCAATTTCTCTAAAGTATGAAAATCCCCCCCCTTTTAAAACAATTAGATAATATAATTCATGGCACAAAGCTAATAAAACTTTTACTGAAAATCAGAAACTAAACTGGCATTTTTCATATAACCATGCCACTAGGAACGCAAAAATGTAATACACCTAGCTACTTCAGCACTGATCTAACATCAGATCAGTGCTGAATAGTAAATTTTCTAGCATTAAAGTAAGATTTCAAACTGTAAAGTTCAATTCAATAGCCAACTAAATTGGACAATATAAGATAAATGAGTCACAATAAATAATTAAAATTTTCCTTTAAATGTAAAAATTGTACTTTCATTTAACAATTCAAGCAGAAGCTAATGTACTAAAATATCATGTTAACAATCCCAATATTTTAAATATGATAAAGGCATATATTCATACATAGTTTGAAGTCAAGTTCTTCCTAACCAAGACAATTTTTACTTTGTCTATGTTAAATTAGCTGATATTTTATTTTTCCAAGTCTGAGAATCATTATTCCTAAATTACTCTTTTTTGTTTTTTGATAAGAATATTCCGAGCTACATAATTGGTTTAACAATTCTGTCTGGGCTTGAAGATATGGATCTTTGCCCAGGTTTTGAGCAAGGAAAAATTAAGACACTTTGCTTGATCCCTGTCCAGTCTGCCATTCTCACTCTCTATTATACTGTTATTATTGTATTTTCTGTTTTAGTTGTTGTGAGTTCCCCAGAGTTAATGGGAATTAATACAAATTGAATAAATATCAATTCTTTAAAAATGCATTCAACACAATGTATTTTTATACAGACCTCCTCCAGATATTGTGATGGCATATATTAACAAATATAATTCATTGAGCATCTGAACATAATTTAGAGGCATACACTAACCAAAGAATTGTTCCTACTTCCAATTCATGTAAAAGTGAGATGGATGGTTTTATAAAAGTAAATAAATACATCAAAGCCTTTGTATAATTTAAGCCCCTATATGATTTAAATATTTTTTCGGGGTTCTATTCAGAACATTCCAGAATTCAGAAAAAAAATGTCAAGGATGCTTTAAGAAAAGTTTTTGACAGGGGATTATGAATTCTGCCTGTATTTATTTAGGCTTATAACCACTTCAGTTGTAACCAATTCTAAGTATCTTACACTGATTCAGTCTTCCATAAATATATTTAAAGAATCAATATATGTATTTGATAGCCAGAATATATCAGTTTATAATTTTACTTATGTTGATTCTTGTTTTTAATGTTATGTTGGCCACCCAGAGTCACTCTGGCAAGTAGGTGGCCATATAAATTTATTTTTTATTCATATACGTATTAGAGATTTCTTCTTTGAATGCTTATGTGTATATATATGCTTCAGAGTACATTGTAGTATGTCGGAAATTCAGGACCGATATACATTTGAAAACATATGTGACAAGCCTTTCAAACATGTAATGTAACTCTATCTATCTATCTATCTATCTATCTAGCTAGCTAGCTAGCTAGCTAGCTATCTAATCTATCAATCTATCCATCCATCCATCAATATGGTCCCAAAGCACTGCAGTGCATAGCATAGAAAATATAATAAAACACAAAGTAAGAATTACATAGCAGTAAGCATCTCCCAACTACAAGATTTAACAATTGAAAACTTTCCTGACATCTTCCCTTTTTTAAATTCCTTTCCTAAATAGTGGAAGTGAGGGCACACCACATGGACCTTTTGGGAGAAAGGGATTGGGAAAGGCTGTTCTAGAAGGGAAAATAAATTAATCATCTATTAATGTATTAAAGTAAACATAAAGAAAAATCTGTTCTTGGAAATGCCAGATGCTTTTGAGAGATCTAGGTGATTACATACACATAAACACACACTGAGTTTTCAAATATTCAACTGTTCTTCATTAAATAAGGTTTTCAAAAATGAGAAAAGGTTAAAAGATAAATAGAGTAATTCCATTCATTTCTACACTTTAATGAATGGTTTTTATATAAAGCCATAAAAGCCTAGTTGTTAGTTATCTGTCATTTCTTCCCTATCTTTAATGTTTAACCCATATTTAGACAATATTTCTTGGCAGTTCACCACCAACATTCAAGTGCAATGGCAAACTGGAAGCAGTATGTAACCCTTGATAAAGTCACCCCTCTTCTTAAGTGACCACTTTTTTCCAATTTGCACCTTTTAGAGTATACACAGTACTCTTTTATGACATTACAGTTATAAAGCTAGATTCCAACATCGCACATCCCCAGATTAACTGCACTTAAAATATTGTCCCAAATGAGATTCAGTTTAGTGTGGTGGTTAAAGGCACTGGACTACAAGCTGAATTCTATGAATTCCAGTCCTGCCTTAGGCACAAAAAGCAACTGCATGACTTCAATCCAGTTACTTACTCAGTCCTGAGAAACTGGCAAATGTTGCAAAGAAAACTGTATTGATTTCTCCAAGTAGCTGCTAGGAGTCAAAGACTGTATGACTCAAAGGCATACATACATACATGATACAAATACCAAATAATTATTTCTGTTTTGGTACATACACTCAAGAAAATCTAAAATGCTGGCTTGCCGCATTTATTTTTAAACACACACAAAATTGCTAAAGTAGTAAATGTTTGGAATCCATGTCAAAGATATACCAGTTCCCTACCTGTTTTTCGCTCAAAGCCGTGATTTTGGCTTGGAGTTCATGAAGCTGCTTCTTTAAGTCAGCATTCTGCTTAGAAAAAAAAAAGTATAACAACAATTCTGCTTATTAATACAGATTTGCAATAAGACTGCTTAATAAAGCAAAAATACACTAAAATAATAAAGCAACTAAATGTACAAACAACATTTAAATTTCCTGGTACTATATTTGTTTAGTGACTCTCAGGCTAATGTCACAGTTGATAGAAGGCAAAATATGAAGTATGATTTACTGGAAATGTTTAATAAGGACATCAAGAGGACTTTAAATGGTCTATGAAAGCAAATATGGAAGCTCTATAGGCTGTTCTTTGCAAAGAAAAAATGAAATTATTTCAAAAGATCTTTAATACAAAACTATCACCTATTTCTAAATCTACCTCCAGCCTCTGGATCTTACAATCTGCATGAGGTAAAAGCAGATATACTTCAAAAAGTTTTAATGTATATACATATGTATTATAAATTCACTGAAAATTATCAAGTTCCTTAAAATCAAGAGCACTGGAATTCTGTTCTCTACAGTTAAGGGAAGACGATAAACCTAATAATAGTTATTAACTATAAATCTTGAATTTTTATTTCAAATTCTAACACAATTTACTAGAGTGGTGTACATATAGAGACAATGCTTTGATTGAGACTATACACAAGTGTATAGAAACTACAGTACCCAGAACTCAGTGCTTCATCAAACACCCCATTAAAAGCTTTGCAAAGCTCTTTTCTTTATGATAATATTGCAAACTATGTGCCCTGTATTGTGGGATATTTAATAAAGCTATAATTGTAAAATATTCCTTCAACATTCAGTGCTTGAATGGCTCTTTTATAAGGAAATGTACAACATGAATTATACAATCTATCATAACTTCTATATAAAGCATAGTTTCAGGAGAACTTTTTCAGTTTGAAAAAATTATGAACCACACACTGAACTATATAATTTGATATTACTGCTTACTTAATTCATACATAATAAAAATATAGGTCTATTCTAGAATATCAACTTATAACCATTCATTTAGTGACCATTCAAAGTTACTGAAAACAAAAACCTATGACCGGTTTTCACATTTATGACTACTGCAACATTCACGTGTCACATGATCAATATTTGGGTGCTTGGCAACTGGCATGTATTTATGACAGTTGCACTGTCCTGGGTCATGTGATCACCATTTGTAACCTTCTCAGATTCTGCAGTGATTCACTTAACAATTGTGGCCAGGAAGGTCGTAAAATGGGGCAAAACTGACTTAAGAACTATCTTGCTTAGCAACAGAAATGTTGGGCAGTCTACCTGTAACATGACTGCATGTCAGACCTCATTCATTATTCATGCTCTGTTTAATTTTACTTCTGGGTTCAAAGCAAATTATAGATTCACCCAGTGGTAGTAAACTATGATTTTGCTTATCTGCCAAACAAGAATTACAAACTATGAATTAAAGCAAGTGTAAGTGTTAAGGCACTGGTTTAACAGAAACCCAAAATTAATCACAATTTTCTGAAGAGCAAAACGAAGTATCAAACATACTACTACTAGTACTACTACTACTTATAAACTGAATATATTTTATTAATGTTTTAATTTAATTTTGAAAAGTAATCCAAACACATAAAATTGGATCTTACATTAAACTTTATTAATATGATATTCAATTAAGAGTACAAATAAAATGTATTTTACCTGTGGATCCTGTTTCATTTGGGCAACCAATTTCTGAAAACAGAAGATAGATTTTGTTAGTGCTTTCTATGACTTTCTAAGATTCTAGTAAGGTCCAGCAAAGATGAGGTTAGTGTTGCCTGTTTTTCAACAAATGTGACACCACTGCTCCATGAAATATTCTGGCTACCAGTATACTTCCAAATGCAATTCAAGGTGCTAGAAGTCACCTTTAAAGCCCTTTATGGCTTGGAGTCAGGTTACTTATGGGACTCTCTCTCCCCAGTTGTCTCTACCATTCCTGTCTGATCAGGCAGGAAAGGCATGCTCTAGATACCATTTGTTAAAGAATATCACATGACAGACCTAAGAGAACCTTTCCTATTATGGCATCCACCCTCTAGAGGTTGGATTGGCCATGTCTCTGTTGACTTGCGAAAAGTCCTATCTTGAAGACCTGACTCTGTGCTCAAGCCTGTGTTGACTGATGCCTTTTATAATTTGTCCCAGATTCTATATGCATTTATGTTTTTTTGTATATGTTTTATATTTTTAATGTTATTAGCTACCCAGAGTCATCATTTACAGGAAGTCTTCAATTTACAAGTTCATTTAGTGACCGTTCACAGTTACAATGGCACTTGTGACTTATGATCATATTTCACACTTACGACCATTGCAGTATCCCCACGGTCACATGATCAAACTTCAGATACTTCGCGACTGACTCATATTTATGACTGTTGCAGTATCCCGGGTTACGAGACCACCTTTTGCAACTTTCTGACAAGCAATTTTAATGGGGAAGCCAGATTCACTTAACAACCATGTTACTAATTTAATAACTGCAGTAATTCACTTAACAAGAAAAGTTGTAAAATGGGGCAAAATTCACTTAACAAAAGTCTCACTTAGCAACATCAATTGTGGTCATAAGTCGAGGACTACTTGTAATTGAAATGAGTGGTCATAGACGTGTATTAAAACATAATATGCCAATAGGTCCCCTCAAATTGTCTACCCCCACAGTATAGCATTAAGACCAGTGGTAGCCAGAATAATTTAAGAGCAATTAAAGTTGACTCTCAGTAATTAATAGTCAAAACAGGCATATTAATTATTTTGGACCCATGGAGATTCTCTTTAGGAAAGGGCATATATGCCTCCTTCAGAAGTGATTATGAGAAATTCAATGCCACTTATGCTTACCAAGTCAATAATTGCTTTGTTAGAACTTATCAGCCAAGATAGGCAAGGATCAAGTCAACAGTGTTCCACTTCGATAGACTACAATGATGTAAACAGAACTCCAAAAATCTAACAGGGCAACATTCTAAAAACTCCTTCAGTAGCAATCAAATATCAAATTTACATCATATGGGTGACAAAGAACTGACATCAACAAAGCCAGATGCAAATCTGGGTAAGTATCACCCCAGCACAAAGTATCCATTAATCTTGGTACACTGACAGATTCCATTTACTAGAGATATAATTTAGAGGAATGTGTGCATCACTGAGTAGCAGTACTCTTTATAGAGTTGCACTTACAATCCTATGTTTTCAGCCCAAAATGTAGCCAAAATAAGCCATTGTGTTAGTTCCCCTTCCAAATTTTATTGTATATCCAATAACAAAGAAAATATCTTAATTAAACATTATCTCAAGTATCTGAAGTATGATTATTTTGCTGAATTAACAATTTTAAGGTCAATAGAATCTTATTTCATAGGTTTAAAATACTCCATCATTAAATTAAAAAGATAAGACATTTAAACTTACTTTTCTAAAGGTCACATAGATGACATGAATTTTATTTTACATGTTTCAATTTCTAATAAAGACACTGTTTTAGAAATATTCAAGTAGAAGACACAAAATCTTAATCAAAAACCGTAAGTCAGAAATTACAACAGCATCAGGATCAAAGAATTTAAGTAAAAATGTTTATATATATATACACAATTTACATATACACAGCAAAATAATAAACATAAATCTAAAAAGCATTATTGATCTGTCTGTGATGAAAAACTGACAAAATATGAGAAGGATTAAAGGTAATGTAAGATTTTGAATGTGAAACAGCTTGGCATCATAGTGGTTTTGGCATGAAGTAGACAATTTTCTTTGGGACAAAGTGAAAGAAATAAGAGTTAAATTAGAACAACTTCAGGTATTAGAAGGTATTAGAAGACTGTTTTATCTTCTAACATAATGCATGGAAAATTCCTTATGTCCACTTTGGTTGCTCAAGAGCAAGCCATTTGAACTAATGCAATCAAGGCCAGAATTGAGAAAAACATCAAATGATTCTAAGTGCAGGCTTTGCAAAGAAACAGAAGAAACTGTACTACAAATTGCCTATAAACAACACCATAACAGTCACCAAAATGATCCACTGGAACATATGTAAAAATTGTATGCCAGTAACGAAAGACTGGAAGGAACATAAAAAAGAAAAGAAACATAGAAAAAGTAATTGAAAGTGAGCAGATTAAAGTACTGTGGGACTTCCGACTGATAAAGTCTTGGTTTAAATTAAGTCTTCATATCAGACTTAATTGTGGTTGAAAAGTATGGATAATCGCTATAGCAATACCAGGTGAGAGTAAAATACAGGTAGTCCTCAACTTACAACCACAATTGAGCCCAACATTTCTGTTGCTAACAAGACTGTTGCTAAGTGAGTTGCACCCCTCCCATTTTAACAACCACAGTTGTTAAATGAATCATTGCAGTTAAGTGAATCTTGCTAGCTTTCCCCATTGACTTTGCTTGCAGAAAGCCAGATGGGAAGGTTACAAATGGAGATCACATATTCCCAGGACACTGCAACTGTCATAAATACATGCCAGTTGCCAAGTGCCCAAATTTTGATCATGTGACTGTGGGGATGTTGCAATGGTCATAAGTGTGAAAACTGGTCATAAGTCACTTTTTTCAGTGCTGTTGTAACTTTAAACAGTCACTAAATAAATGGTTGTAAATTGAGAACTATCTGTAGAAGACAAAGAACTGGAGAAGATCACAAGGTGTCAAAATCTGAAACATTATGGCATAAACCAACCATGGTGCTCTCAGTGGTTATCCGCACACAGGGTGTCATATCAAAAATTCTTGGATGGTACTTAGAAAACCTAAGCATTAACAAACTTTCCATCAGTCAATTACAAAAAGCCATGCTACTTGGATCCAAACATATACTGTGCTAAAATATTCCAGCATCCTAGGTTCTTGAGAAGAACTCAATATGTATGAAAGCCAACATCAGTTAAAGAATTGGCAACTATGATTTCACATTGTTATGTATATAATAACAATAATATTGTAACATGCAACAAAAAGTATGGATCTGAAAATTAAAATATTAAAAGAAAAAGTAATCATGTTGATAGAAAAAAAATGAGTGATTGAAAGTTATAAATGATGAAAAATAGAGAAATTGATTAATCTGTGTACTTATATACCTTCATATTTAATAAAAATAGAAAAATGAATGGAGAAATATTAAGACAAGCAAATACTGTTAGGAAAGTACAGGATGTCATGCAATCTCCTGCAAAGAATGAATGTTAAAAGGAGAAAACACATGACGTAGGTAAGTGGGAATATTACCCAGTATAAGCTTCAAAAAAGAAAAATATTAAAACAATGCCTATGACCCCATTATTTTCTCAGATTTTGTAGCATAAGCAAAGGTAATGAAAAATATCTAGAACAAACAAGTTTTTAAAATGACACGTTAAAATTCTGTAACTTCTGACGCTCAATTCCAAAGAAAACTTTGTCTGAAAATTTCCTGACTTAACATTTAAATTAAAAGCAGGCCGAAAAATAAACTTGAAATTACAGCTGAATATAATTTTCAATATTTCTAATTATCAGCCTTGCTGATTTGAGCTTCCAAAAGATGTAGTTGCATAACATTTAACAAATCACCATTGTCATAAGGATGACTATCTAATGCAGGCCTGGTGGCCTGTGGGCCCGATGCGTCACGCACAGGCTACGCCCACCCTGGCTCCGCAAAGACAAGTCACAACACATCACAATACATCACGTGATGTGATCGAGTTTGACACCTGTGCTCTAGAGTTTATTGTATTTTTATTTAGTGTATGGCATCTACAGATGTCATGCAATCACTGGTATACAAATTTAGTTTAAATAAAGTGTCAGCAAATTTACATATATGGCGGCTGATACACCATTGATCTAAAATTGTGATGTCCCTCCAAGAGATGCTATAAATAAGTTAAAATTATTTCAACTAATAAAAATGTTACGTTTTATGTTGCTTTTTCTGATACCAAAAACAATTAAAATATGGACAGTCTCTTTAACAGCTAAGCTATTACTCCTTATATACTACTGTCATAAGTCTGCCAAAACATAAATTTGCTAGTTTTTTAAAGTGAGCAGGTTGCAAAAATTATAATTCTTTCAAAGCCCTAAAAATCTCAGCTACAAAAAAAAAATTTGAAATATTATTTGAGAAGACCTTTACTCAGACATTTGTATGTCAAAAGTATAATACCCTAGAGAGCAAAGTATTAGCTGCTTCAGCATACGATACAATTGTTTATTAAACAAAAAAAAAATTAGGGTTGTAAAAGTCCTCAAAAAGGATGCTCCAGAAAGTCCAGAAGAATGTTCAAGGCATCTCTTTCTGAACTTCTGAAGCAGCTGTTTCAGAATCATATTCATATAGTTATTTCAGATGTTGTCCATGGCATTCTCTCCATATCACAACTATATCCACTTTTTTCTCCAGGAAAGGACTGTCATGTCCATTCACACACATATGGGGAAACAACCATGAGTACCTTTAGGAAATTGAAAAGGATATTTCATATGAATTCCAACAGCTTCAATAAGGATTTGAAAGATCCTAAATATTTTAATCATATCTTTTTGAGCTCAGAATTATCCATGCTAATCATTAGGCAAAGCAATTATCAGTCTTGCATGGAAGTTTGTTACCAATGACCTAAACTTTTGTCTACAGTTTGAGACAAATTATACATAAGTAAAAAATAAAAAACAAAAGA